TGTCGAGCTCTAACCAACTGAGCTACAGAAGACAGTTGTCGAGCTCTAACCAACTGAGCTACAGAGAGACAGTTGTCAAGGTCTAACCAACTGAGTTACAGAAGACAGTTGTCGAGCTCTAACCAACTGAGCTACAGAGAGACAGTTGTCGAGCTCTAACCAACTGAGCTACAGAGAGACAGTTGTCGAGCTCTAACCAACTGAGCTACACAGAGACAGTTGTCGAGCTCTAACCAACTGAGCTATAGAGAGACAGTTGTCGAGCTCTAACCAACTGAGCTACAGAGAGACAGTTGTCGAGCTCTAACCAACTGAGTTACAGAGAGACAGTTGTCGAGCTCTAACCAACTGAGCTACAGAGAGACAGTTGTCGAGCTCTAACCAACTGAGCTACAGAGAGACAGTTGTCGAGCTCTAACCAACTGAGCTACAGAGAGACAGTTGTCGAGCTCTAACCACAAGTTCATGTATACATACTAAGGTGATGCCCCAATGTAAAGTATATGGAAATTTCCATCGACAGTACTCTTCAACAATTAGTATGCTATCGAGGGATCAGAACCTCGTTATCCTACCTCATCTTCGTATTCAATATAAGCGTAACCTTTCGACTTGCCAGACCGATTTGTGACCAGTCGAACTTCTTTCACCTTGCCATGCTGAAAGATATGAACACACTGTTTTTAGTAACATGGCCGCAGAAGTCAGGGCGCCATGAGGCGACGCTACCTCCAAGGGTCTAACTCCAAGTTCAAAACTTCAAAAGTTAGTTGAATTAAGATTTCAGGAGTTATTGGCATTTAGGGGCCGATTACATGGAGCATTTTCAACCCCGGGGTTGAACTCAGCCCTGTTTACCGGGTTGAAATTTCAGCCCTGTCTGTAATACAAAACTCTATCAAAATCAAACGCGCGATTACATGACAAAATGTTCAACCCAGGGCTGAGTTCAACCGCGGGGTTGAAATTTCAACCCTGCTTCAGCTAGCAGGGTTGAAATTTCAACCCCGGGGTTGAACTCAGCCCTGGGTTGAAAATTTTGTCATGTAATCGTTTCAATGCAGGGCTGAAATTATCATGAGTTATTCGAGCATACGTGGTAGTGATTATTTATTACAAGAAAACAAAATAAAGGCTTTTTTACTTCCGGGAATCGATGCCGAGAACGTATAGTATAGCGTTTCAACCCCGGGGATGAAATCGTCCATGTAATCGCAAAAGATTTCAACCCGGTTAACAGGGCTGAGTTCAACCCCGGGGTTGAAAGTTCTCCATGTAATCGGCCCCTTAGAAATTAAGAAAATTAAGAAATTTGAAAAATAAGAAAATTGCACTGTATTTCATTTTTTCGCACTGTATTTCATTTTTTGGTACTGTACTTAAAAAAAATTGCGCTGCTCTTAGCCAATCAGAATTGAGAAATTTTTTTCATGTATATTATTATAACTGAAACAGAAACTTACCACTTTGAATACGTCTTCAATGTCCACGCTCTTGATCTCGAATGGAAGGTTGGTCACAAAAACTGTGCATTTGTCAAGCGTAGTTGGAAACTTGGAGTAAAATAGGAAACATATATTAGGTTTGGGGGCATCTCACTCGATATAATTAATTTGTAGATGGAAATTTTGAGGATAATTTTTTAATATTCTACAGTATTTATTTGACCTAATCAGGACCGCAGGTTCGAGATTCTTGCCGAAGGGCCTATGGTCTAATTAACAATTAGCCATTCCAAAGTTGATGAAAGGACTGGGGACGAGTGTTGAAAAGTGCCCAAATTAAGAAATGAACCAAATCACTAGAAAGATCACATCAAAATTAGTAAGTATACAGAGTTTGATGATGTTTACATGAATACTGTTCGAATGATAAGCTTTCGAAAATCGCGATATTTACTATGAAATGTATACTGTAATTTTTGTTTTTGAAAAACAGTCTTTTTATCAGTAATTTCACAATTTCCGAAAGCTTATTATTATTCGAAGGGTATTCATGTAAACGTCTTCAAACTTTGTATACTTACTAATTTTGAGGTGGTCTTTTTAGTGATTTGGTTCATTTCTTAATTTGGGCACTTATTAACACTCGTCCCCAGTCCTCTCATCAACTTCGGAATGGCTAATTAGATTACGAGCTCGAGATTTCTATGAGATGATAGTTGCCTTCTCGTAAATCTCATAAAGAAAGTATAGCCGGCAGTAAACCTCATAAATAATAAATAAAAAGCTCCGGTGGCCGTCGGCTTGGTTTGAAAGCCCTTGGTAGGTTGGGTTCTTTTTTTTGTAATTTTTGTCATAAATGCTCATGCATGAGAATGATAGTCTATGTAATTAC